ATATCATTTTTCTATAATCAAAGTCTCCAGCAGTGATTCATATCTTAATAGTTTTAATTAATGAGCTAATTTCTTTTTAATTTTTATTTTGCATTTTTTAAATTGTGAAAATACCGCACAGAGGGGTTACAATTACATGGGCAAGGTAATGAGTACATTTCTTATCAAGCATTGTTGCCTCCTCCTTTCTTTCCCCTTACCATCCCTTCTAATCTCACTCCTCACCCCACCCCACCCCCCGCCTGCCTGACCCCCCTCCGATTTCTTAATTGGAATAAAACTTGAATTTTCTCTTTCTAATATTGGTGCTTATTTCCAAATATTAATATAAATTATGTTCAAAGACTGTATTGCTTTGTGGTTTTGAGTTATTATAACTTGCCACCCCATAATTTTTATTTAGTTTCTACTTTCTAGTTGTTTTTTTTTTCTGGTGGAATTCATCTTTTGTTTATGGATTAATTGCCCTATGCTTACATCTGTGAGATTTCATTCTTTTTCTTATTCTTTTCTTATTCTTTGTACTCTCTTCCCTCCTTTTCTCCTTTCCTCTCTCTTCTGCTCATTTTACCTGCTTCTATCTCCTACTCCCCTCCCATTTACTCTCTTCCCCTGAACACTCCTTCCCTCCCTTCCTCTCTCCTCCTTTTCTTTCTTTTTTATTATTAATAAGATTTTGTATTGTGAAAATACCATACAGAGGGGTTATAATTACACGAGCAAGATAATGTGTACATTTCTTATATTTTGACTGGATCTGTTTACATGGTTCAGGCTGGCCTTGAATGGTTGCTCCTCCTGCCTCAGCCTTCCAAGAACTGATATGACAAGTTATGCATGTCCTACTATTCCTGGCTTTAAATTCATTATGTTAAAATCTATGTTGGATATCTCTAATATCTCTATCAGCTGCGACCTTTGTTAAATTTCTGTGTTGTTTGCTTTTCAATTTGTTCTATTTAATAGTGTATGTTCTAGTTACTGTGTATGACATTGTGAGGGCTGCTTCAAAGTATGCTACAGACTGGGTGGCTTAAGCAACAGAAATTTGTTATTTTTTTTCACAGTTATGAGGACCAGAAGTGTGAAATCAAGGATGCATAAGAATTTGTCCTTTCTGAGGCTCTAAATGATTTGTTTAAGGCTTCTCTCCTTAGTTTATAGTTGGCTATCTTCTCTCTCTGTGTATCAACATTTGTCATTAGTTTTCCTGCAATGTACATCTGACTCTTTGCCCAATTCAGTCTTTACATTTACTCAGTTAATTTTTGTTGTCCTATACTGAAATGTGAATAGTCAGTGGCATAGTCATGATACTCCGTTAACAGAATATAGTTTGATCTTTTTCATTCTCTGGGTTTGCTTGTTCTTTATCCCCTCTACCCTCCTTCCCTTTTATCTTCCATTTTGCCTTCATTAGTAGTCCCCATTAATCTTTAATATCCTTGATTTGTTTTGCTTTGATTCCCTCTAATTATCACAAATGAGGGAAACCTTGTATTAGTAAGACTGGTTTATTTCTTTTTAAAAAATATTTTTATTTATATTGTGAAGTTGATGTGTACAGTGGGATTGCGGTTATATAAGTCAGGTAATGAGTACATTATTTTTGAACAGTATCATCTCTTCTCTCCTCTCCCAGTTTTTCCTTACACACACATACACACACACATACACACATATGTATATATAGATACACACACATATCACTTTTTTTTGTCAGTCATGGGGCCTGAGTGTTGTCCCTCAGCTCTTCAGCTCAAGGTTAACAGTCTATCCCTTGAGCCACAGGACCACTCCCGGCTTTTCCTGATTATGTGGTGCTGAGGAATTGAACCCAGGGCCTCAGGCATGCAAGGCAAGCACTCTACCACTGAGCCACCTTCCCAGCCCCAGATTTCTGATTTTTTAAATGTAATCATACATAGTAATAAACTTCACTCATAGAGCCACTTTGATTGTATTTTATAAATTCTGGTTTGCTGTGTTTCAATTTTTATTTCCTTCTAGGATTAAGTTTTATTTTGTCTGTTATTTCTTCAATGACTCACTGGCTAAGCAAGAGTAGGGTAGTGTCTCTTGCTGTTGATTTATAGTTTTATATCATTGTGGTCTGATAAAACATACAAGGTTAATTTATCTTTTTTATTTGTTAAGACTTGCTTTATGTCCTCAAATGTGATTTATTTTAAAGAAAGTTCCATGAGCTGTTAAAAGAATATGTATTCTGCAGACTTTGAATGGAGTATTTTGTAGATGGCTATTAAGTCTATTTGATTTATAATATCATTTAATTCTGAAGTGTCTTGATGACTTATTCCACTAGTGAGGTTGTGGAATTGAAGTCACACCCTGAATTGCTGTGTTGGTATCTATCTATACTTTTATGACCAGTACTCTTTGTTTTGTAAAATTAGGCACATTGACATTGAGTGCTATTACATATACAATTGCTATATTCTCTTATGAAGTAACATTATTTTGTCTCTTCTGATTAATTTTGCTTTGAAATATGGGTATTTGGCTTCTTTTATCTGGAATATATATTTTCAATACTTTTACTTGGAGTCTGTAAGTGTGGATGCCAGTTTAAGATGTTTCTTGTATACAACAAAAAGAAAGAAAATAAACAACAGCAACAAAAAAACATGGTTAAGTCTTTATTATTTTGAACCCAGTCTACCTATTTGCATCTTTTAATTAGAAAACTGAGGTAAGTAGCATTTGAGTTATTATTTAAGGGTATGTAGTGATCTCTTTTATTTTACTCTCTTTGTATTGTTTGATTCTTTCCAAATTCTCATTTGCTTAAGGTGCTCCTCAGGTAAATTTTATCTTTTCTTTTGTTCTAGTTTTATTTCCTCTTCTGTGTAGAAGATCTTTAAGTGTCTTCTCAGTGCTAGCTTAGTGGTAATGAATTCTTTTGTTTGAAAGATATTTGTCCTTCACTTATGAAGAGTAGTTTTATTAGTTTCAGTAATCTAAATTGGCAATTATTTTTCTCTCTGGATACTCTCTTGGCTTTTAGAGTGTCTGTGAAAAGACATCTACTGTTATTCTGATGGATTTGACTTTACACGTGACTTGGTACTTTTCTCTTGCAGTTTTTACTGTTCTTATTTGGGCTCTATACTTTATGTCTCACTTGTACGTGACATGGAGAAGTTTTTATCTAGTGTTTGAGGAGCCCTCTGTACTTGGATAACCAAGTCAGGAACCATTAGTCAGGAAACTTTCTATTACTTTATTGAGTATATTTTCTATACATGTAGCTTGTGTATCTTCTTGTACTAAGCAGTGGAGAACTTAAAAATTTGCATGAAGGAATTTTTTATTTTGTATTTTGCTTATATCCATGTACACATTTCTGTTTTGGGTGAAGGTAATACTAATAATTAGAGGTTTTCAAAATAAATACCAATAATTATCTGTAGGAGTCAAGATTTATCATCGTTTTTAAAATATTATTTTCTATGTAGGAATAAGAAATTTCCTTCCTGAAGTGCCCTTAAAAATCTTCATGGTGGGGGGGAGAGGATTGGGTAGGGGGGCGGGGGGAAGATAGGAAGGGATGGGAAGGGGAAACAAAGGAGGAGGCTACAATGCTTGATAAGAAATGTACTCATTATCTTGCCCATGTAATTGTAACCCCTCTGTACAGTATTTTCACAATTAAAAAAAGAAAAAAACATTAACTGTGAAATGAAACCATAGTTTTTTTTCTTTGAATCAGTTTGATTTAGTGTAAATCTTTGCTCTATCTGTATAGCATGACCACTTGAGAGATTAACACTGAACTTTCATGGTAGAAACCACCAAGAATTGTACTAATTAGTTTTATTCTTCTGTTCTTTTCCATATTGTCAGTGAGAGATTAATTATCATAACAATATTTAATCTTCAAAATAACCTGAAACCAAGTTATTGTCTTAAGAATTATTACATTAGTTTTTCATAAATTGTTTTGTTAGGAAAAATAACAACTATTGTAGCTCCTTTTCTCTTTCTTATTTCCCTGTCCCTCTCTCCCTTCTTTCCTTCTCTTTTCTATCTCTTTCTCCCTCCCTCCCTCCTTCCCTCCTTTCTTTCTTTCTTCTTTCTTTCTTTCTTTCTTTCTTTCTTTCTTTCTTTCTTTCTTTCTTTCTTTCTTTCTTTCTTTCTTTCGTTCTTTCTTTCGTTCTTTTTCTTTCCTGTACTAGGACTTGAACTCAGAGCTTGGTACTCTTGCTTAGCTTTTTCACTGGCAACTGGGACTCTACCACTTGACTCACATGTCTAGTTTCTGCTTTTTCCTGCTTATTTGAAGGTGAAATTCTTATGGATTTGTCTGCCTGAGATGAATCCAAACTGCAGTCCTCACATTTTAGACTTCTTTGTAGCTGTGCTTATAGACCTGGGCCACGATTAATGCCTGTTTGTGATACAATTTATTAAGCACACATCATTTGCTAACTGTGAAGCTCTATGCTTTAAATACACATTATATTATGTTACGTTGCTATGCTGTATTCTATATATTATATTAACCACCAAAGTATCATGGAGTTACTGATATTAACTCTAAGCCACTGGTTTAAGAGCTAAGTTTGTTCTGCTGGGTATGTGGGTTGCGACTGGGAGCCAGAAGTTTTTGTTCTTGTTCTTGTTTTGTTTTGTTAAATCTCCCTGCAAAAGAAAAAAAACTGAGAAAAATGATTTTGTATATGAGAATGTCAATTTTACACACACACACACACACACACACACACACACACACACACACACATTTGAAGCATTAACACTGAACCAACCAGATGATGAGGCATATGTACCATCAGGGTGAATGAAAAGAAAGGGACTCTGGGTTGAGGACAAATTCTTGGCAGGTGTGGGAGGAAGCATGGAACCTATTTGTGAAATGTGAAATAATTGTATTAAATAAATTGCAATGGACTTTTTATTGACAAGACTAATTTATGCGATGGAAGTCTGTTCTCAGCCTGCTCTGCTTGTCTTCACAGAGATGATGTTGATCTGTCTTCTGCGGGAGAGGTGGGTGTCCTCATTGGCTACTGTCCACAGCAAGATGCTTTGGATGACTTCTTGACCGGTTGGGAACATCTCCATTACTACTGCAGTTTACGCGGGATTCCAAAGCAGTGCAGCCTGGAGGTAAGTGTCCTTGGTTTACCTGAAGAAAAGAATGCAAGGCCTACAAATCTGTCCCCAGACAGCAGTCTTCCTCCTGAAAATAGGAGTCATAGTAGCTGATAAACTTTACAGGAAGACATTTTCTAATGTTAAAAGTGTGTGTGTCTTATAGCCATTATATAGGTAAAGCATGTTTTGGTGAGGATATCATGTGGAAGGTATTAAATTCAAATAGCATCATTTTTCATGCATTGAACTGTGAGTTTAGAGTCATGAACAAATATCTTTACTAGGCTTGCAGGGGAGAGGAAGGGCCACAGAGCATGCGTGGAATTGGGAAGTTATTGGAATGGATGGCTTCCTGGTGAGTGGGCTGACAGATTCCTGTCAGAGGCTCCTTTTCTGGGTGTTCTCAGGAGAATGAAAGAATAATATGAACTTAGGAACTCCTAGCTCCCTCACTTTGCCGTATGAGAGCAAATGGAGAAGCAGAAGGAACCAAGATGCAAAAGTAAGCTGCTACTACCCTTGATGCAATCCATAATCAGAAAAGCAAAATAACAACCTTGTTAGAGAGCTCAGAACACATTCCCCATTGGGAACTGCCAGAAAGACACATGCTGGAGATGGGCTTTTACCATCTCTTTGTCTGAGATGCTTCCTGGAGTTCTGGATTCTGAGCAAGAAGCAGAGAATGTGGATTATGTGATGTATTTTCAAGCAGCATCTGTAGGAGACAGAACTTCCTAGGAGTCACAAGAGACAAAACTAATAGCCACTGCCTTCAGCAGCCCATGGAAAGTCATTCTCTGTGCTCTTCTGGTCATACTTCAAACTCTTGTTTCTCATTTCTGCTCTGCAATTTCAAGTGAAATTACAACAGAAGCTCTACCTCCTCCTTGTTCAGACCCTGTATCCCATCTTAACAAAGCACAGATAACTGACTGCTCCACAAGAGACTCTTATTGCAGTTAAATGGTTCTGGGAAGCCAGTACTAATGGCGGGCTCTGTGTTAATAGGTGTTTTATCTGCCAGCTTTCCCTTGTTAGCTTTAATGAGAGTGGCAGATGCTTGATAAAGCTGTAAGTAGCCCCTCTGGTGTGTGTGTGTGTGTGTGTGTGTGTGTGTGTGTGTGTGTGTGTGTGTGTGTGTACACCTATGGAAAAGCTGACCGTAATACAGTAATGCTTATTGTTTCCTGTCATCTAGGGCAATTGCCTCCTGATACTCTGCTGTCATACAGGATTGTATTTCTGAACTTCTCCATGGGGAACTTACTTAGCAATTAGAAACTGGCTTTATTTCTTTCATAAAACTGCAAATGATTTTGCAGAACTTTTGCTGCTTCCTTACTCAGAGATTTATTTTTCTTAATTTTTAAAATGTCTTTAGTGTGCAAATGGGATTCAATTCAACATGCCAGTTTGTGAATAGAATGCATCTCGATCCCTGTCACCCCTTTCATCCTTCGCCCCCTTCCCTCCTAACACCACTCATCCCCGCAATTTTCCTGGTGTCATTTTCACATATATACCTGGGTTATTATGGCTGCATCCCCCCACCCTTTCTATCTCTGTTTGTCTGCTCCCTGCCTGTTGATCTCACCATCCCCTCTCCCCCCCCCCCCCACCCCCTCCCCCCGGCCCAGACACCACAAGTCCCAACCTTCTGGTATTTCATTTTATTAAACTGTGGGTTAGTTGTGTAAAGGGAGTTACACCACTGGAATCTTCCCTGCATATACTTAAGTAAATCTGTTTATATAAGTCAAGATGTGAGGGTGTGACTATATACATATATATCACATTAAGTTAATATGTGTATATAGAGGATCCTGTAAATATTTTTAGAACTATTTATAATTTAGATCTGACTTCTACATATGAGAGAAAATATGTGTCCTTTTTCTGTGTCTGATTTTCTTCACATAATGTGATTATTTTTCCAGTTTCATCCTTCACCCATTTCCCTATAAATGACAAAATATTGTTCTTCCTACTGGTTTTGTAAAATGCCTTTCTATGTATGTATGTATATATCTAGACAGATGTCTGTCTGTCTCTGTAACATCCATATCTATATCAATCCATATAATCAATAGCACATTTTCTTAAGCCATTCATCCATTGAAAGGGGTTCTCTAATAAATAAAAACACATCTGAATCTGTTTCTGAAGGAGATAAGCCCCATTCTTAGCAAATTTCCCTCTTCATAAATTTTGTGAATATTTGAAATGCAGATCAAATGTGTGTGTGTTTTAAGATGCTTATCACAAAGTAATCAGAAAGAATTATTATTTAAAAAACAGAAAATAATTGTCTAAAACCATCGTGTATAATACCATCATACATAATGATATTACACTTCAGCTAGGACCACATACACAACGGTGATCCTGACAATTTTAACAAAATTGAGAAATCCTCATAGCCTAAGGATATTGTAACCATCACGGTATGGTAACCCCACACATTTTTGCATGACTGTAGTGATGCTGGTGTAAGCAAACTTGTGCTATCCCCTGAATAAAAAAGTAGCTCATATAGTGAGGTGCAATCCATAATACAATATAACACCTAGTAATAAATGACTATATTATTGGTTTGTGTACTTACTGTGCTGTGTTGACTCATTTTAATAAAATCTACCCCAATTTATAAGACAATATCTAGTGAATGACCTCTTTTTTTTTGTCAGTTGTAGGGCTTGAACTCTGAGCCTGGGCACTGTCCCTCAGCTCTTCAGCTCAAAGCTAGTGCTCTACCACTTCAGCCACAGCACCACTTCTGCTTTTTCTGGTGGTTTATTAGAGATATGAATCTGATGGACTTTCCTGACTGGGCTGGCATTGAACTGTGATTCTCAGATCTCAGCCTCCCAGTAGCTAGGATTACATGCATGAGCCACCAGTATCTGGCAAAAGCATACTTTTTTTCTCATTTCAAGTTTATTGAAACATTAGCAGTACAAATTATCCAGGTTGCAAATTATCAAAAGATCAACTAAATGAAGTACACATCAAAAAATAAAGACAAACAGAAAACAACTCATACAATGAAAACAATATAAAAGATATTCATCAAGTCTCTAAAACTTAAAATTTGAGACATTAAATTTATACAACTTATTCATCCACTTTGTCTTCATCTGTTCCAGGACTTGATTCATGATCAAATTTTTTATTTTTTTATTATGTATATGGTCATTTTCTTGACCCTTTGATGTTTCGTTTTCTTTTTCCACTGAGGATCTTGTCTTGTCATCCTCCTTATTTTTCAGTCCAGAGGACTTTAATTCATTGTTTCTTTTTGATCTTGATCAGCTTTTTTCATGTTATTATTCACAATTTTTAGAGTACATTCATTTCTTACTCTCAGAATTTTCTTTCCTGTATGAACTCCTACTTTCTTGATTTCTATATTTTTCTTTGTTTTTGCTTTGACTTTCTTTTCTCTCTGAGCTCTGTGAATCTCCTCTCCTCCTTCTCCTCCCCCTCCTCCTTCTCCTCTTCCTCCTCCTCCTCTTTCTCCTCCTCTTCCTTCTCCTCTTCCTCCTCCTCCTTCTATCTTTACTTCTTGATCTTCCTGGTGATGTTCTTCTTTCTCAGCTTCATGACCTTCCTCTTCTCTATATCTATGGTACTCCTTGCTTCTACTGCAATCTCTTTCATGGTTTCTAGACCACACTCTTCTGTTCCTGTCTCTATTTCTGCTTCATTCCCTTGTTCTACTATTGTAACTGTCTTTAAAAGCATTCATTTTTTTAAGTGATGCATGACAATCTTTCAACATCCATTCTTTCCCAAGCTATGCTCTAGTGTTTTACAGGTACCATATGAAGTAGATAAGAGGCGTAATATTAGCTTTCTAAATGGGAAAATTGAAATCCAGTGCTTTTAAATGACTTACCTAAGTCACATGACTGGTATGTGACAGTTTTATTTGAAATCAGATAAACTAAATTCAGGTACATGATCATGCTTCAAAGTGCTGCCTTGACACTTAATTCCCTCTGCCATCTACATCTTAGTCATACTTCATAAATCCTTAGAGTAGCCAAGAAGTGGAAACCATTATGGAGTATTACATGGGTCCTCTAATACAGCCATTTTGAGTGATTTACCTTCCATTTGGCTCAAGTGGGGCCTGGGCACATACGTCTGAGCCACGTAGTATATAAATAGATGTCAGAAGGTTTTTTTTTTTTGTCACCCATACTCTGCTAATGTGGGATCTCTTCTCCAGGCTCCCATCTTTTCATGATGAATATGCTCAGTTACCTCATGTTCTTGTAGTTTGAACAAGAACAAACTTCCTTTCCTTCTGGAAAGTCCTTCCTGTGTTAGCCTCTTAAGCACCCCTTCTTTCTCATCATTAAAACTCAAGCCTGTGCTGAGCTATACCCATGCTCCTGGCTCCCAGTCTATTTGTGTTCCATCTTGTTGAACTATTATGTTGATAGTTAATGTCATTCCCTCTTGCAAACCTCCAAACTTTAACTGAGGGGAAAAACTTGCCTCCATTTTTAGCTTGAATTTAGGTTCCATAGGTTGGCATAATTAGTTCCAATATTCTCATTGTTCAAACTGCTTTGTACACAGGGTACACACTTGAGCCTGAAATCAATTGGCCTGATAGTCAAATGGTTCAACAAGGCAGGCCCACATAGTCTGAGAAGCTGAAAAAATGTGAGAAGGGGTTGATAACTTCATGGTTGGTGTTACAACCCCCCCACAAAAAAACAAACTACATTTCTAATTGAGATGAATGCTAGCAATTTCTGCATTTTAGTTTTGCCTGAGACTGAAGAAGTAGATTCCTTACCCATCTTATTTTTGTTCATAAAACAATAAACACTACTGCGTGTTATTTCCCAATATCTTCTCTGAAGGCATGGCTTTTGGCTGAATTTTTTTTCCATTCCAAGTGAGATGTACAAGGAGCTAGAAGTTATGAGACAAGGAAAATAACAGTGAGGAGGTTGGTGCCTGAGAAAAAGCCAGAAGTGAAGTATTTCTAC